CTGCTTTGATTAATTTTTGTGAAGATTGTCCAAAGCAGGTAATTGAGAAGTTTTATTTATGTCTTGCCAATTGAGGTGGTAGTACCCATATACATGGTAATTCCAGATCATTTCTGCTTATCTTCCTGCCATTATGAATGGGTTGGAACAAGCTTTAGGCAGTGCTTTTTCGCATATGCAGTCGACGGGGAAAAAGCTTCGTTGTGAACAGGTGCTTTTTGGATATTTCTTGATTATCATGGCGCATTTTCTCTTCGAGTGCTGCCTTTCTTACCTACATTTTTCGTGATTTCCTATGTTACAGCTTCTGACTGCCATAGCATCTGTTGCTGATGCGGCACAAGACTTGTTCATAGAATTCTATGATCGAATTGTCCCTAATCTTAAGTTTATTTTGGTAAATTCAACATCTGACGATCATAAGGTGACAATTTTACATTTTGTAATTGTTCTGGTATTTAACCAACGTGATCGATCTAGGTCCTTCGTGGAAAGACGTTAGAGTCCCTATCCTTGATTGGTGTTGCTGTCGGCAAGGAAAAATTCCGAGAAGACGCAATCGCCATTATGAACCTTCTGCAGGAGTCAATGCCAACACTGACTTCCGATGATCCTCAATGCTCGTACATGATTTGCAGTTGGACGCGTATATGCAAGGTATGAAAAGCTGTACCGTTCAAATAATCTGAGATTGGACTCGTTTGTAGCTTGAGTAGTGTTTTGAAAACGGTCACGATGTGAAGATGGTTTATAAAGCTTCGAAACTGTAGATACCATCTAGATCAGTGTTTGCTTCAGGTGCTAGGCAAGGAGTTTGCACCGTACTTGCCTATGGTTATGGGTCCTGTTTTGCAGACGGCTGCGTATAAACCCGATGTTGCAGTCTTGGATGGTATGACTCATGCCATTTCTTGTTGTAGTGTAGTTGCGTTCTATTTTTGCTGTTATTATTTTTTCGTTAATGTTATGCAAAGAGCCCAATACACTCAGCGCTCACCTCTAGGACTAAGTCTTAGGGGGGACTAGGGGAGGCAGTGTGAGCAGTTTGAATCAGTTCGCACTGCGATGCTCCCCCTCTCCTTCCCCTCCCCCCTCCCCGTAGTGCATCAGCGCCATTATTCCTATCCTCACTCTTCCCGCTATATCAACCGATTCAATCGTTTAGTTTTTTCTATGATCCAATTGTGCACCAAGATAAAATATGGCTGGATACTAAGTCGGGCAAATCGAAGTTGCTCTCCTTACTAAAGATAGAATAACAGCACTCATGACACGTGATCGACTCATTCTGAATTACTTTTAACGGGTGCCGTGGTAATCCTGCTATGCTTCCCCGTTTCCTTCAACCATGGTCCAAGACAACGGTCCTGAATCCAGGGGTATGCACATCTTGTTTAGGCCTGAGAGGCGGAGAAGTTTCGCGGTGGATGGGTGCGAAAATTTTGATAGGATGTGAGCAAGATGAGTGGAATTTGGGACAACCACCAGTCCTATCAGAAGTGCGATCAAGGACTGCTACCCCCCCCCCCCTTTCCGGTTTACGGACTACTTGATTTTTCCTCAATGGTCCTGCCGCTAGAGCACAGACGATTAGAGAACGGGTGAATGCCCTAGGACTAAGCCTTGGAGAGGAGAGGGACCCGCGAGAGAGCGCAGAGGCGGTTTAAAGGGCTGAGTTCAAGTAGTCCGTCGACCCCCTCCCCCTCTACGCCAAACTCCATTTTCACCTACTTAGATCCTATGCTCCATAAACGGAGCTCACCGAGCTCTAGCCGTTGGAGCTGCTTGATAGGAATTAAATTAATCAGTAAAGCCTGTGGTATTTCATGCAATTTATGCACTTCCACGCTTTTAAAACTTTCGGTAACTGTGAGTATGAGATGGTGTTATGAGACAATTGCGGTGGATTTTTTCTTTCCTATTTTTAGATTTCTTTATGGTGGTGTAACTACTCTTTCGAGAATACGCAATACATTATTGTAACATGAAGCACACCTTTAGTGCATAAATCGTAGCGATAGAGGCGCTACTCTTCCCTGTTACAGAAGACCAATGCAACAAGGACGATCCAGCTTGGTCTTATCATTCTGTTGGCGACAACAAGAGTTTTGGTATCCGCACTGCTGGTCTTGATGAGAAAGCGGATTCGTGCGCTATGTTAGTTTGCTATGCTAGAGATTTGGAAGGTTAGTCGACTAGTTTTTGTTGCATCATATTTTCAAGATTCCGTTCAATGGAATTGTTGAGCTTCTAATTTCTTTCTGAATTTATATTGCAGAAGAATTCATGCCATACGTTGACGAAGTGGCAAAATTGTCAGTAGAAAACCTGCGGTTCCTGTTCGTCGACAGTGTTCGCTGTTCAGCAGCTGAAACGCTGCCCTGGTTACTTAAATGTGTCAAAGTTCAGGTAGGTGTGATAACAAAAATGAAATCTTTTTACTTGTCTCTTCTACTTTATTTTTTAGGTTGAGTGAGGGTGTACGTGGTGTTTGGGGGCCTTTGACTACTTGGAAGCAATTTCACTACTTCTATTATTGTTTATTTATGCAACTGTTTTCAGGGAGTAGAATTCCAGCGTCGTTTGTGGGTAGAGTTTTTGCCTGCGTTGTGCACTGCGCTAGAAGCCGAGAACGAGGTGGAGGTGATTGAAAGTTTGGTGGACTCCCTTGCGGAAAGTGTTCTCCAGCTCGGTGCTACGGTGTGTTTCAGTTTTCCCCTTCATCATAGATTTGATAATCGAATACCAAGTCGGACACGTGAGTCGTGCGAACGCTATTTACCGTTTTAACACCTTTTTAACTTTTGTAACAGAATCGATTTGAGTTTACTGCACAAAATAAGTCACTTCCAAGTCTTGATACTTGCTAGATGGAATTGATTAGTAGACCTTTTAATATTCCTTCTTCAACGTGATCTACTTTTCGGTGCGACTACAATGGCTGTTGTCGTAGTAATGCCGTATTCTTGATTTTCGTTCTTTTTAGGGACTCTCCAAAGAGGATGTAGAGAAAATCGCCACTGTGATTTCTGAGCAGATAAAGGAACACGAGAAACGCCGATTGGAGGCTGAAGCGGAGGAAGCTGAGGAGGTGATTTCAGTTGAGATAAAGTAACTGTTTTCTGAGAGGCGACGATGCAGTATAGATTTTCTGTTAAGGATGCCGATGTTGATGACGTCAAAGATAAGCTGAGTGATGAGGCGGAAATGGAAGGAGAAGTCCTCGCCCGTATTTCGGATCTTATTCACAACATGTTTGAGGTAAAGGACTGGATGATTTTTCTCATATTCATCGAATAATATTGGTGACAAAAGTGGTTTATGTTCAGACGTTCGGTGAATGCTTCTTCGATTGCATGGAACCACTTCTGCCTGAAATATTACAACTTATCGATGTTCGGCGATCGTATCCTTCGCGGCAATATGGCCTCTGCTACATTGACGATTGTATAGAATTTGCGCCAAAGGTGAACTTTTTGTCTATATGGTAGAGTAGCAGTAGAGGTCGTCTGTGGAATTTTGTTGTCGTAATCCTTTGCGACCATAAGTACTCATCATATTGTGTGGCGAGGCATGTCTCGGATGGGCATTCATGATTTAAAGGGTTTCGATCTTGCTCCAAATGAGAGTGATATTCGTGTCCCGAAGCTCGAACTATGTAAATGTTAGGGATTTTCAAGGGAGCCAAATCAAAAGTTTCACCTTCAAAAAATCCTGTCGAAAAGTGCTATCTATCGCCATTAGTGGTTAAGAATTAGCAATGATCTCTTCTAATTAAGAAATATTGGCGATCTCTTCTAGTGGTGGGACATTCGGCATAATTAGCAATATTCGTTAAAAACTTTTGTCTGGGGAATGGCTTTCAGTTGGGTTGATCTAACGAGATAAATAAAGGCAAATCTTAAACATGGTTGTCATGCTCAGCGACCAAGTAGGTGAACATACCATATGTAACTTTCTAAGAACTCGTTAGGGAAATATCACTGAAAACATCAGCAGCTGGCGTAGGAGGTTATTTTATAATCATGATAAGGACCTCTCATGGTGGAGCTTTTGATGAAAGTAGTATTTTTCGACCACAGGACTCGTAATTGTAAGCCGTGGTCGAAAACGCCAGCGACCTGCTGGGGATTATTGCCAATCGTTACCCACACCTTTCGAATCAAGTTCGAAACTTCGATTTGACTATGAAGTCGTTCCCAGAAGTATATTGACCTTCTAGGCACGAAAATCATACTCATGTGGCACGAAATCGCCTGGCCTGTTTGCGAGCATGATGTCACAGATTCATGGCAGTTCTTGAGAACTCCATCGAGATTTGAGCTGCAATTGATCAGTGTTGGGAGATTTATCGAAAATTCTTGACGGCCACCTATTATAGAAGCAAAAAAAAACGCGCGGACGAATCCGATCCCACGACGACGCTCCTGCAAATCCGCAGCGCAATGATTATGCCTCTTGCCGTATCTGCCCAAAAACATTCGTAATTTCGTTTGCATAGTTGTTCAGCGTATAAGGAAAGCATATCAGTAATCAGCATCCGATGGCGCACCTTGCGGTATACATCTCATTCCAAACGGCCATTTCGACCTCTCATCCATCCCTTGTAAGGTAAATCATGGGAATCACAGGGCTACTCACTGTTGTAGTGAAATTAGCGTGGATTGCATTGAATCATAACGATGTTGAGAGATAAGGAATCGGCAAGAACTCTTCTACAAATGTAGTTTAATTTAGAGATGTGCGCAATATCAAGAACAGTATGTTCCCATAATGCTGAAATGCCTCGCTGACGAATATCCCGAAGTTCGACAAGCAGCCGCTTATGGATTTGGAATTATGGGCATGATAGGTGGAGCGGATTATCTGAATAGCGTAACAAGTGCTCTTGAACCATTAGCCGCTATGGTGAACAGGTAAGACGATTTTTAAAGAGGTGAAACTGCCTCAATTAATTGCTGATTATCGCTGTTGATTTTCTCTCTCTTGATAATGACTAATTTAGTAATGTCCAGTTTACAAAACGTTAATTGAAATTGTTCGTAGTTTCCAATGATTAGTTTATCATGATTTACTTTCAGTCCTGACGCCAGATCTACGGAGGAGAGTTCTGGTGCGACAGACAATGGTATTGCTGCCGTGGCGAAGATTTTGAAGTATTCCGGTGCTAATGTTGATATCGCTCAAGTGAGTTATATTTTTTCCCGTTCATTACTTTTGCCTTCATGATAAAATATTATTGTAGAGGTGTCTTTGTTTTAAACATCCAACTACTAACATGTTGGATACCGCGTGCGCGCACACCTGCCTCATGTGGCCGAGTGCCACATGGTGCCACACGACTGAATCACCAGATTGATTTTCCTCGGTTGTTGTCATTTTTGAAACGCAGTTTTTTACAGATGTTTTCTTTCAAGAAAACAAAATATCTTAGTGAGAAAAATCACAGGCAAAAACTAATATTTAATAATGCTATCACCAATAAAATCCTCGGTTCGTAACTAATTTAATTGGGATAGAACACGTTCTTCTACGCAAGCGAGGCGTAAGCAGTCATCCATCCTTGCCGTCTTATTACTCAGTTGCGACCAAGTGTTCAAGAAAATTTTCAAATGAAAAAAATGACGTGCAGCGTGCCATCGAGTGCCATAAGGTTTTATTGGTTTTTTCGAAGCTTACACGCCATTCGGCGATCAATTTTCGAAGTGTCGAATTGAGAAATCGCTAATTGTTATGTCGGTAGCCGTACAGAAGATGCAGCTTTATTCGGAGTTCATAAACTAAACCATACTGAAGTCAGAGGCTTATATAGGGGAGATGTTTTCGAGAGAACTCGAAAACAAGTGATACAAAAGAGATCATTTATTGTTCATCCATAACATCTCCCCTTTTTTTAAATGAACACGAGATCACAATGTATCAGGTAGAGTATGTCTTCTGACGTGGATCCAGTTGAAGCCGTGCTGGAGGCCTGCTCATCCGTGTCGATCTCCTTGGTTGATCGAAATTAGCATTAAGAACATATCGAAATACAAGTTCAAAATTTCCACTCTTTGAAGTCTATACGAAGGGCAAAATGAGTCGGTCTGTACGTGTCTTTTCCAAAGTTGAATAATGGTCACTGCTGTTCAGTAAAGGTGCTGAACCAGATTGTGGGGTAATGGAATTATCTTGTTTCATCGCTCTTTTCCACCAGAAGTTGGTCGGAACGAATTTTTATTCCCTTCTACTGTTGTTATTCAATCAAGTGTGAACTTATAACGTTTTTAATAAGCAAAGTGAGCGGAAAACATGGAATCTTATTCATGAA